CAACGACATTCCCTTAGCTAGCTGGATAGCTTCCTCACATGAAAGAATCCAACAGCGTGTGAGGCAAATGGTCTGAAATCAACGACCTTAACCACTCGGCCACAGACCCACACCCCTTTTAGGTATTATATAATTTATTTTGTTTTGTAGATTCTATCTCATTTAAAGCAGCTATATTACAATCCTAAGTTATGACTTATTAATAAGTTCTAATGGAATTGATCATAAGCTTCAAAAAGAACCAAAATTATCTTTAAAGATTTTCATAAAATAATTTACAGAGTTTCAAGGCTATCGCATACGTACTGCATTACAAACTTCTAGAATTACTAAACATGTATTACACAATTAACCTTCACAAATTGGACTTGTATGTTACTTTCATTTTGTAATGGTGTTTTGTTATCAATTTTAGAAATATCACAATGAAAATTTGAATCAGTTCAAAGTTATAGGGCCAGTAATATTACTGTTAAAAAATTTAATGTTTGCAAATAAATTGTTCAAAATATGGTAAATAAAATGCTCCCACTAAATACAGGTTTTATTCACAGTTATAGCAAGTCTGAATTCATTAGGAGGAGGCCTTAAATAAAGGTATTTTTTCTTTTGTTGAGAAAAAAAATAAAAAAACGAAATCATCTTCTGGTAGAATATGCATTTAATATCAGTTTAATACACAGACCTGCCATGAAATCAAATTCACTGTCACCAGAATTGCCATTTAATTGCCTTACTGTCAGTTAATCTATGCAAAGTTCTTTTAATAACATTTTAAGAAAAGCCCATTATTCACACACATCTTCAAGCGTCAAAACAAAATTTTCATAATCTTATGAAAGAGAACTATACAGCCTGTGTCAGGCAGATCAATAGGTCCTATTAAAAAATCGTTTATCTACACCAATATTAGCCTTTTTCTTATGCGAACCATTAATGTCCTGTAATTCGATACAATATCGTGCACACTCAAAAAGAATAAATACGAGCCATGACTTAGTAGGGTAATACATCATACTGGAGTAGGAATACGCAGGACTGAACATTGACAGGACTATTTTTACGTACAAAGAGCTTTATATATAAACATCTTTTCATAAAAACATAAAAATATTGTACGTGATCGGGTGTGAAAATCAACTTTGTTTCTTACGATCGGCAGTGGATTCCGTCAAGGACCTTTTGACTTTGATATGAATAAAAAGATCATATTTCGTACATTTATCTGATTTTATCGCTTCAATATTTCAAGCAAGTTTGGAATCATCCGTGTATTTTGAACCTAAAATTTGATATTATTATGATTAATGAAGAACAAGTCTGGTCACAAAATATCCCCCTGTCTTCCTTCAGATATTAAAATTTAACTTTTTTTTAATGTCATAGTTTTGCAATACTGTAAATTTATGAATATTAAGATTATATATATGCATCATTCAATGACATGAAAAAACTTCCTCTCTTATCTGCTTTAAATAAATTGTTATATCATTGCCCTGTAGGTGTGAAACTTGTCAACAATCTAAACAATTTAGTATTACAGTTATGGAGAAAAAAGAAGGACTTGGTCCTCAAGTTTCACTTAATTCATTATGTCAGGCTTGAAAATATCTAATTCCCCAATATAAAAATGACCTGAAAGTGCTCTCTATACTTATTTGGTTGGTTTCAAGTCGAGAAGTTATATGGCCACTTTTCAGCTAAGTGTTTGGTGGTGGAGGACCCTAGGTTCCCCTCCGTGCATTATTTCAGACATATGGCCATCTCCTTATAAGACCCGAATAGCTTCCTCACATTTTTAAGGAATCAAGTCATTAGCATGTAAACTGATCTAATATACCAATATAAAAATTTAAATATAGTGATCCGGAAATTCCCTATATAATTATGTTATTTCCTGCACAAAGAGTGACACAGACCCTTTAATTGTCCATGCATACGTTTCTTTATTCTAAGGAAACAGTACAAGCAAAATGTACCCCACCCCCCAAACCATAGAAACCTTGGGGTAGTGTACATGATAGCAGCCAGATTTAACTCCCACACCCACAAAAAAACTTTGGGGCAGGGTAGGTTACTGATAGCTTGTGGTAAGATTTTGTTTGTTTTATTTTGACGATTTTAACAAACAGTGGTCCATCTACCTTATAATTGACTTTACTAGATAACTTACCAGTAATTACCAATGTCTAACCGAGTGACTAAATATTGATACAATATGATGTATCTGAGTGGCGAGAGACAAATGACCATTACCTAGATTTAATGTCCGAGATCAATCTTCATAGAAAAATTTCGCCTTACCGGAGAATCAAACAAGAGAGCCGTGGATGGAAAATGGGTGTTTGATTGAGAACTGAAGGGTATGTATATTTCTGTGCCATTATTAATTAAATAAACAATCTTTTAAAAAAAAATTGTCCTCCAGCATGCCAGTGCTTTAATATTTTTTTAACATTTTTATTCAATGTCGCCGAAACAACAGGGAAAAATGTCCAGAACTCTGCATGTTGGTGCCTTTTCTAGTGCTTAAAAATCAGAAATGAAAGACCTCACTATTGCCTTTGTGTAACAGTTGACTGGTGTAATTAGTAATCCAAGAAGCAGAGCAGGTTTGATCCTTTACACAGCCATTGGTTATATAGAATCTACCCATGCGACCAGTGCAGACCAAGATTAGCTGGCACATCCTTGCCATCTGATCATGGTCAATGTACTGTTCGTTATTCTGTCAATACATTTTTTTTAAATTAAGACCTCTAAAAACAATGAATTGTTTTCAACTTTTGATGGGACTGAAATAATATGGACAAGTCAAATTAAGATTTTTGGTGTGGTAAAGATTAAATAAGCTTTACAACTAAATGTGTCATATAATCAAGCGTGAATCGATATATTAATATCAATATATTTATACGAAGTGACAGATGACTTTTTATCAAGATCATGTCTAATCGCTTGAGAAAGTGAAAACAATAATGATATAATAACTCCTAACAAATGGATTAATTTAAACTTGTTAATCTGAGATTAAATGGTTAAAGAACTGTCTGATCTGTGTACAGTTAAATAAATCAGACATTCCATTCAATATATGGAAATGATTTTTAATCCTAACCATGCTTAATTTTGTGCTTGGTTTTTATTTAAATTTGAAGGGAACAGAGCATAGAAGATATTCTAAGGGAAATATCTTTTTATACACATATACAATTTCAAATTAAGGCCTATAATTGGTCAAAAAATTTAAGGCCTAAGATTTCTTAATGTGTGATTGGTTTCAATTAATTTGAAGGGAAAAAGCACAGATATTCTAAGGGAAATATATTTTCATACATATGTATGATTTCAAATTAAGGTCTATAATTGGCTGAAAAAACTAGACCATAGATTTAAATATTGATGTAGGAACTCCTGGAGGTCTTAAAGACATTATCCAGGGTCAGCAAGAACAGACTGGATGTGAAAGTTTGAAGTTTATGGTACATGTATATATAGGATTTCACAAAATCAAATTATAACATTACCATTAAAACTCCATTTCTGAAAGATTTTAATGCATTGCATAATTGCTCAGGTATTTATACTCAAGGCCTTTTCCAGCTGTTTTGGGAAGTGGCACCTGTGGCTTATATATATTGCTTGAAAAATATAATTATGGTCCTTTGGGAAAATTGAGAAGTCTGTTAAAGTTGAAAATTATCTTTTTAATTACATATCATTAAGATTTCATTCACGATATCATGTATTATGGTTTGTGAAGAAACAAGACAAAATATTAATTTTTTTCTGAGTTTTTTTTTTTATGTGGAATAGAGGCCTTGATTTATGTACATCCCTTGATGATAGAGCAAAAATGCACTGAAATATAACTCTTTTCATTTTCAATTTAAAAAAACAAAACAAAAAATAGTTTCTATCAAGTATATAATTATATGCAACTATAATACATTGCTTTTTTTGTTATGATAATGACAATTATTATGGCAATTGTGATGACTGTAATGATGATGATGATTCAACTTTACCGTCAAGTCTTATATAAAAACAATTGCTACAGATTTTATGTGAAAAAACTGAACATTTAAAATAAATCCTCACTTAGATAAATGTTGGAAATTGAAAGTCTAAAGATCTTTTATCATGTTCTTTTATCTAGCACAAAACAAATTTAGAAAAAAAAATGCATTTAATACATTAGTGGTTATATGAATCACCCCATCCCCCTACACATCCTCCCCCTGCCCCTTCTCCCCTGCAACCTTATGTTAGAAGTAGGGCATTCTGCAGTCTTCTGTCAACCAATCATTATAAATTACACCCCACCACAGTCTCCCCTGCCCATGCATACAGATCATTATGCTGTCCATCAACCAATTACCATTAGTTAAAACTTGAAAATTAATATTGACAGAATTTGTACAACAGATTTCAAAATCTTAATATTGCAGCTTAAAATTGATGTTTATTATACCTTTATTAATTTCTGTCACCTAAACATTTCCTCTTAACCCCATCATGTTACAAAATGCTTTTCAAATATATCAACAAGCTCAATAGAAATAAACAAAACATTAACAAAATGAAAATCTAATCTTAATTCAGATTTAAAATCTATAGTTAATACCAATATTGCATGTAAAGTTTCATTTTCATTTAAAAAATTTGAGGAGAAAAACAGCAAGAAGGAAACAATACAGCAAAAACATATGAAATAATATAAACAATCTCGAGTATGCCTTAAATACCGAGTCCCTATATATAACTATACTTAACAGATTATAAAAGTTTAAACTCACCGATAAAGATGTTTTAAATCCAAGTATAAAGTTAATTTATAATCCTTGTGCATAAATTCTTTTTTTTTGTTTCCAGAAATTAGAAAATAGAATTAAAATAGCGACAAAAATCGAAAACTACGAAAATGAACTACAGTAGCCAACTGACCATTTAATACCTATATATCGTATAAAAATCGGCACTGTACTATGTTTACCTACCACTTGAGATCAACTTAAATTCGCCAATGTATTGATACTGGGCTATTCAATTATTGCTTTTCATATCATGTTGGGTCTCGAGTCATCTAGTATTTGATATCTCCGACATAGATTTATAAATCGGTGATTGATTGAACTAAAATATTTTCTTTTCAGTGATATAATTCTTTTATAGAAGAAATGTGGCGTAGAATGCTCGAGGTCGTAGTAGAATAAATAAACACAACTTAACTTACTAAAAAAAGGTTTAGGAGACTATGCCCTAAAATTCTTAAAATAATATCACATCTAGGCGAAAAATATGATTAAATGACCTGAAGAAACAACAAAACTAAATAATATCTCTACTCTTTTACATATATTATGAATGAAATAATAAATTTTGCCATCTAAAATGATAATAACAATGTAGAAAGTATAACTAATAAGAATGCGAAAGAATTATTTTCTAAAAATGTATTATTAAAGATAAAAGATGTCCCTTCTCACCCACCATAAGTGACAGTGATAATTATGTAATACTATCTACAAATAATGGATCAACACAAAAATGCACGAAAATTATCATTGATTCTGTTCTTAAATACACTTACGTATTGGGTAGCAATAGCTGGGGAAAAAGTTTAATAGATTATTCTTGAAAGCCGTCATGGCTGTTACAGTGAATGAAAGAACATTCCCTTGAAACAGTAGGGGGTAATTTCAACATAATTTGGGTTATTTTTTGCAACTTTTCATAATAAGGTGTCTCTATTCAGGCAGTTTGGCATGCTATCTTGCCTTAAACTATTTACTATTCATCATTATATATGACAAGGGCTCGATATATAAATATTTGTTTCACAAGGAGTTAATATGGGTACCGCAAGATAACTATACGCTTATAATGTATCGAAATGTATACAGACTTTAACATCATGACTTTTATTTTCAAGTAGAAAAAGATGTTGTATTAAGCCTTACCTCTTAAAGGAACTCCACTCCACTTTTTTGTGCGAATTTTAGCCAAATTTGAGTTGCAGTGCATTTCATTTTCGGGTCATTTTGCACAGTGAAAATTAATAAACAGTACTGGGTGAATGATATAAAAATTTGTGAAAAAGTTAATGAATTGGAGATTAAATTTTTTCTTTTTACAAAGTAACTTCAATATTAGTAAAATCATGCAAAAAAAGATCCATAAAAAATAGGAGGTATTTGAATTGGCAATAAATTTTATATTAATATTAATTTATAGTGTATAAAACAAGACTTCAAATCCACTTTCGATAATTCTTTCGATAATTTCCGGTATTTGAATGGATGATAGGTGAAAAAAAACTAAGTTACACTGCACATATGCAATTTGATATTATAATACCCATTTAAGTCCTGTTCAGTGTTATATGTCATATGTTATACAATTTTGTCCTGAACCACTGTGGCAAATGACTTTTTGGAGGAGATGGCACTATAGCTACTTGTTCACAGTAAAGAACAACAACAACAAACAGGTTATAGCAAATCTTGAAACACTTTATCAGGTTAAACACTGCTTGGAATGATTACCTGAAATGTTGCAAAAACAAGGCATAAAACTGGAGCACCCATGCCTCCACCCCCCCCCACTCCCAAAAAAAAGTATTGTACTATAATAATGCAGCGTATACAAATGTTTCCTTAATCTTAAAATAAAATACAATGTCCTTCTTGGTGGGTCTTTAAGTTCTACATAATCATATGTACCTTACAGCCTACAGTCAACAAACTGTTTCAATTTTTATAGGGGACTGTATTTATCCTTTATCTTGTAATGTCTACACATAATGTACCAGTAGTATCAGAATATTGGTGTGTCCATGTTTAAACAAGCCGCTTTAATTAAATATTGACACTCTTTGTGACAAATCTTCAAATAGAAATTATCATAGAAATGTGTGGTAAATCAAAAGTATGAAATTGACCGGTAGGGATCTATAATCCAGAATACAAATATATCAATTATTCCTGACATACAGTTAAACCTGTACTGAATAATACCAGTATTTTTAGATGGGGTAATGGCAATATAATAAATGCCAGCATTTTTAGATGGGGAAAGACACCATATTAGATGCCAACACTTTTAGATGAGGAAAAGAGAATACAGTAAATGCTGGCACTTTGATATGGGGAAAAGACACTATAGTAAATTCTAGCACTGTAGATGAGGGAAAAGACACTAGTAAATGCCAGCACTTTGAGATTGGGTAAGAAAGTACAGTAAATGCTGGAACTTTGATATAGGGAAAAAGGCACTATATTAGATACCAGTACTTTAAGATGAGGAAAAGACACTTGTAAATGTCAGCACATTGAGATAGGGAAAAGACACTAGTAAATGCCAGCACTTTGAGATTGGGTAAAAAAGTACAGTAAATGCTGGCACTTTGATATGTGGGAAAAGACACTATATTAGATACCAGTACTTTTAGATGAGGAAAAGACACTAGTAAATGTCAGCACTTTGAGATGGGGAAAAGACATTTGTAAATGTCAGCACTTTGAGATTGGGTAAAGACACTAGTAAATGCCAGCACTTTGAGATTGGGTAAAGACACTTTTGTAAATGCCAGCACTTTGAGATGGGGAAAAGACACTAGTAAATGCCAGCACATTGAGATGGGGAAAAGACACTAGTAAATGCCAGCACTTTGAGATTGGGTAAAGACACTTTTGTAAATGCCAGCACTTTGAGAAGGGGAAAAAACACTAGTAAATGCCAGCACTTTGAGATGGGGTAAAGACACTAGTAAATGCTGGCACTTTGATATAGGGAAAAAGGCACTATATTAGATACCAGTACTTTAAGATGAGGAAAAGACACTTTTGTAAATGCCAGCACTTTGAGATGGGGAAAAGACACTAGTAAATGCCAGCACTTTGAGATGGGGTAAAGACACTAGTAAATGTCATCACTTTTAGATGGGGTAAAGACACTAGTAAATGTCATCACTTTTAGATGGGGTAAAGACACTAGTAAATGTCATCGCTTTTAGATGGGGTAAAGACACTAGTACATGCCAGCAGTTTTAGATGGGGTAAAGACAATATAGTAAATGCCAGCACTTTGAGATGAGGTAAAGACACTAGTAAATGCCAGCAATTTTAGATGGGGAAAGACACTAGTACATGTCAGCACTTTTAGATGGGGTAAAGACACTAGTAAATGCCAGCACTTTGAGATGGGGTAAAGACACTAGTAAATGCCAGCACTTTGAGATTGGGTAAAGACACTATTTGAAATGCCAGCACATTGAGATGGGGAAAAGACACTAGTAAATGCCAGCACTTTGAGATTTGGTAAAGAAAGTACAGTAAATGCTGGCACTATGATATGGGGGAAAAGACACTATATTAGATACCAGTACTTTTAGATGAGGAAAAGACACTAGTAAATGTCAGCCCACTGAGATGGGGTAAAGACACTAGTAAATGCCAGTATTTGAAATGGCATAAAGACACTAGTAAATGCCAGCACATTGAGATGGGGTAAAGACACTAGTAAATGCCAGCACATTGAGATGGGTAAAGACACTAGTAAATGTCAGCACTTTGAGATGGGTAAAGACACTAGTAAATGCCAGCAATTTGAAATGGCATAAAGACACTAGTAAATGCCAGCACATTGAGATGGGGTAAAGACACTAGTAAATGCCAGCAATTTGAAATGGCATAAAGACACTAGTAAATGTCAGCACTTTGAGATGTGGAAAAGACACTAGTAAATGCCAACAATTTGAGATGGGGTAAAGACACTATTGTACATGCCAGCACATTGAGATGGGGAAAATACACTAGTAAATGCCCGCACTTTGAGATTAGGTAAAGACACTACAGTAAATGCCAGCACTTTGAGATTGGGTAAAGACACTAGTAAATACCAGCACTTTGAGATTTGGTATAGACATTATTGTAAATGCCATCACTTTGAGATGGGGTTAAGACACTAGTAAATGCCAACAATTTGAGATGGGGTAAAGACACTATTGTAAATGCCAGCACATTGAGATGGGGAAAATACACTAGTAAATGCCAGCACTTTGAGATTGGGTAAAGACACTTTTGTAAATGCCAGCACTTTGAGATGGGGAAAAGACACTAGTAAATTAATGCCAACAATTTGAGATGGGGTAAAGACACTAGTAAATGCCAGCACCTTGAGATGGGGTATAGACATTACTGTAAATGCCATCACTTTGAGATGGGGAAAAGACACTAGTAAATGCCAACAATTTGAGATGGGGTAAAGGCACTATTGTAAATGCCAGCACTTTGAAATGGGGTAAAGACACTAGTAAATGCCAGCACTTTGAAATGGGGTAAAGACACTATTAAATGTCAGCACTTTGAGATGGGGTAAAGACACTATTGTAAATACCAGCACATTGAGATTGGGTAAAGACACTGTAGTAAATGCCATCACTTTCAGATGGGGGTAAAAACAAAAAAGTAAATGCCAACACTTTGAGATTGGGTAAAGACACTTTAATACATGCCAGCACTTTGAGATGGGGAAAAGACACTTGTAATTGCAAGCACTTTGAGATGGGGTAAAGACACTATAGTAAATGCCAGTAAAAAGACACAAGTAAATGCAAGCACAATAAGATGTGGAAAGGACAATACTAAATGCTAGCATTGAAATCTTTTCTCATAATTTAATGCAAAGTAATCACCAAATGTTTAGAACACCTGTGAATATTGCAGTTGAACCTTTGCAAAGCAACACCCTTCTGAAGAGGATTTTGGTTTTGCTGGAAGGTGTAAATGAATGAGGGATATTAAGTTTACTTAGGGAAGAATTGATAGTGTTGTAAATATAATAGTTATAAATACTTTCATAGAGGGTCACATTGCAAAGGTTTTACTGTAGGCACAACATTCCATTAGACATAAAATATATGGTAAACCATTTTTTTAAAGTTGAAATTTTTAAAAACCTTGAACAAAGTACCATATGCTGAAGCCAAACATTACTCAAAAAATAAAAATATTTACTTAAATATAATCCACAGAATTAACCAAGAACATAATTATGTTTAAATAATTGAGTTAATATAGTCTTAATTCATTAATTTAACCATGTAATCAATCAG